TTAGCACTCCATTCAAAATGAACGGTTGGATAAGGGGGAATACGGAACTTCTAACCTGTCGGGGAAGCATAGAAACCTTTCCCTGGACTAAATACCATAGTCTTGAGTCTTTAGACATAATAAGTTAATAACGAGCTTCTCGATAGAGAAAGGAGTGCGGAGGACTGAGTTCAGAGGAGAAATAGAAATGGCGTTCATGAGAGGCAAGCCTCTGGTTGCCAAGCTCGCGAACATAGCGAAATTCGTGATTTTCCCAGCTGCCATGGCGGCCTCACTCTACTATAGCCCACCTCTACCCAAGAAAAAGAAATTAGAAAATCTCACAGATTGATCGGTACGGTCTTATGCAAATTAGGGTTTTAGTATTGACTTTGAATTCATCGACTTCTCGATTTCTAGGAAATAACTATCGGAAAGTGAATCGGTATGGTTTCTTCTGGTTATTTTTCCACTGGTTTGGTAAGCGATTAGGGATAGACTCGATTATTGAGTAAACTGTTTACAATTAACATGGTTTTTTTTTTATATCAACGGGCATTTAAGGTTTAACTATTGACAGGTTATATGTTCTAAATTATCTCAGTGCAGTCTCTTTTGGCTAGACAAGTGATTGATGAGTGAATTTATTGTGTTATCATTTGATTTTACCTGATTGATAATAGGTCTTATTTGTTGTTATTGGAACTTTAGGGCGCTTCATCTGACGATTTACAGTCTGATTTCTTTAGGTTTAGTTGAGTTTGAATGCAAGAGTAATCAAGGAGAATTTTTTTTAATGGGGTTTGGTTTATTGAAAAGGTTTTCTATGTAAAGTTTACTCATTTTGATTTGAAATTTAGGGTACATTTACCGGCAGATCAACCTTCTGGCTTCGTTAAATTCATTTTATCTCGTTTTTTATGGGTCTATCCTGTTAGTTTATTTTAGTTTGGCGAGCAATTAAGGAGGAATTTGCCATATAGCTCTTTGATTTACACTAATATTGTTTCTAGGGCTCTTTATAATCACTGCTGTGAGTGCGAATTAAGTACAGATTTCAGGGGAACTCGGGTTATTCCATTCTATTTATTTCTTAAAACCAAATACCTTACTCGTAGTCTTCCATTGGGTACATTGGAAATCTTTGACTACGCATGCTTTCAATTTCGCTTTGAAAGGAGTGAATTGATTGACTTTGGATTTGAAAGGAATGAATTGATTATTTGGTGCTAAGTATGGTAAGTTTGGGTCAACCTTTAATGGATAGCGTTATTAATGCTTTGATTATGGTTAAGGTGATCACCAAAGAAGTAGTTCCACTGGCCTGTGTTGATAAATGAATATACTTTCTTATGGTTGTGAACTTTTGATTCAGAGAGCAATATTTTCGTTGTATCAATTGATCTGGTAGCCTTATTGTGTTTTATATGTGGCCTCAGCATCATTGTTATCATATTAAGCTCGGGTTAACATGGGGGGAAGTTTGAAGTGGAATACCTTAATATGTGAAATAGTGTGATATAACGTTGTTTTTATTCATTAAGGGGTAGTCACTGTGTGCTTTTTTTAGATGGGGTGCCATACTACTCATGTGATGCTGATCTAGATGCATGGGGAAACAAACACACCTATGTAACTAGTGGTGTAATATTAACATGTCATGATGGTGGGGTGGTCCAGCGTAAGTGTCAAACCATGACACGTACCGATGGGAATCCTAGGGTTCTGAGATTTCAACAATTTAGATATACTGCCTCTCCAATAATTTATAGAAGAATGCAATTATCCAACCTCAACTTATGATATGAATTTTACTTTCATGGAGGAGAGAGGATTTTACTGCAGTAGCCTTCCAGGAAGGAATAATAGATCAAGAAAAAGGTCGACAACACGGTTTTATGCATAGCGTGTGGGAGTTTTTTTCTCTCTTGTATAGACAGTTTCTTCATATTGGTGTGCTTCTTTTGTGTGGCTACAAAAGTGAATATTTGTGAATACATGCTTCCTTTTGTGATTGTTGTTTATGAATTGTATTTGTCCAACTTAAGATTCTTTTCTTTGTCTTTCTCCTTTTTCATCATTCCCAACCTAAGAGTATGTGAGCATTTTATTAAGGACATGCTCGTTTGTAATTTTTCATCCATAATTTGTTCCCCTTGGCACTATTGTGTGTTTGTGAAGAGATATTTGTGGATAGAAGTTTCAACTGGTTTTACTCTTGTCTTTGGAGGGAAAAAAATAGCTAAGATTGCTTTCATGATTCTCATTTAAGAGCCTTAGGTGCTGAATTTCACAGAGGAAAGAAAACTATACGAAGTCCTAAGTTTTGAATTTTTAAATTTCCAGAAACCTGATGGATAAAAGCACAGAAAACGGAAATAATGTGGAAATTTGAATGTTCTATTCTATAATTTGGGAGTTGTGCATTGAGTTCCAATTTGGTAGATTTGAATTTTTTTGAAGAGCTTTATAGTCTCTTCATTAACATGAGTCTATGCATGATGGTTAATGGAACTAGAAGCCATTGACTGAAGCTTGAAAATACAATCTACCGTAGGATGAGACCTGTTTGTAGAATCCTGAAATTAGGCTACATTCCTCCTACCAAAACAACTTACCTTGGAGGGCATATTTATGTATGTCTGGACATGTGTAACCATGTACTGATACATGCATGTGCTCATGCACAAACATGAGTTGTATTCATGTATGTCCATGTATGTCTATCTCTATGTTCTATACGCTTGTGAAATAAATGTCATGTAATCATTCCTTATATTCAATTGAAATTGTTCTCATGATATTATTGATATAAGGGAAAACAATGCATAAATAAATCTTATCTGATAAATCTTTCTGTACCTTTTGAGAATCTCTAATTTTCATGCATAGAAAATCGTAAAGGTTGCCACTTCTGCAAATGATTAGCTCAGAAGAAATAATCAGCAAACAAAATTATAGCTTATACCCTGAATTATTCCATGTTTCTCTTTATTGGCTATATAATTTTTTATATGAAAATTTTTGGATTTTCCTGATGTAAGAAATGCCCGAATTTTTTGCAGGTCATTCGCTGGAGATGAATGTAAAAGTTTGCCCTTATGGAGATTTCTGGCATGCTGAAACCATGTCTGGAGTCTACTATTTGGCAGTAATAAATATGCCCTTGTGATTGTAGTAGGAAAACATGGGTTATTTCCTACATTTAGATTGCTTTTGTATTTTTTGAGTCTGCTGCAAATTGGTTTTTTGGAAGTCAGGAATAGCTCAGTTTGCTTTGATGCTGTGCTGTGAAGAATGAACAGACACTATCTTAAAGGCTGATAAACATTGATTGAGGAATGTCATGGTAGAAATTATGGTTCATGAACTAATGCTACTTCTAAGCTATGTATGGTTGCAATTGAAGTGATTTGGACTGAAGCTTGTGCGCACACCATGTGCGCACAAGTGATGCATGAAATTCACAAGGTGACGAGTTGAGAGAATTTCACGCATCACTTGGTAGAAGCATTTGTACTACTTCAGTTTTAAGCATTATTCTAGGAGCTCCCCAAACTATCAATGTCAATTAAGATATGTCTTCTTTGCTCAAGCAGATTTGTCTGTAGAGTGGGGGAGCTATTATGTTTCAAACAAAACATGTATTATATGACTAATTAGTATCATAACAAGATGGCTGAAACAAATTCGAAAATGAGGCGCAAGGAGCATTCCAACTTGTTCCAAACAAAGTTGGTTATGATGGGTGAATTTTGATAATTACCAGAAGTTAACGACTTTTGATAGTGGGAGGAACATACATTGCTTTCACATAAAAAGCTTCATTTTCCCCACCAATATACAGTGTTAGCATCTGGTTTAAATTTAGCATAACATGCTTGCAGCTCCAATACCATCAGGTTAGGACGATACCAGTTAGCCATCTATTGCTGATACCGGATGGTTATCAGAAAAGCTCCCCTTCTCTGGCTCATGTGGCTGTACTACAGTTCCATAGCTAATGAAGCTCAAGTAGGATCGACAGAAGCTCACCGAGGAACTATGGAAAATCAAGGATTACACAGGATCAGAAAAGCTCCCCTTCTCTGGCTTCATCAAGGATTACACAGGATCAGAAAAGCTCCCCTGCTCTGGCTCATGTGGTTGTACCATAGTTCCATAGCTAATGAAGCGCTCCCCTTCTCTGGCTTCATCAAGGATTACACAGGATCAGAAAAGCTCCCCTTCTTTGGCTCATGTGGTTGTACCATAGTTCCATAGCTAATGAAGCGCTCCCCTTCTCTGGCTTCATCAAGGATTACACAGGATCAGAAAAGCTCCCCTTCTCTGGCTCATGTGGTTGTACCCTAGTTCCATAGCTAATGAAGCGCTCCCCTTCTCGGGCTTCATCAAGGATTACACAGGATCAGAAAAGCTCCCCTTCTCTGGCTCATGTGGTTGTACCATAGTTCCATAGCTAATGAAGCGCAAGTAGGATCAGAAAAGCTCCCCTTCTTTGGCTCATGTGGCTGTACCATAGTTCCATAGCTAATGAAGCTCAAGTTTGAGCTTTGTTACAAAAACATGAACTGTTGCCATGTGAGGACCCAAAGTTGCAGAAAGGGATTCACAAAGTTTAGTAAAATAAGTTTAATCTACCCAAAGTGGCAGAAAGGGATTCACAAAGTTTAGTAAAATAAGTTTAACCTTATAGATTAAACTCTAGTCTCCGAAGAAAGATTAATGTTAAGAGGTGAGTGGATATGACTTGGTCATCCTTACTCGAAAGGAATATGGAGATCGATGGGTTGGCCGAAGTAACATTCAAACGAAAAAAAAAAAAGAAAAAGCAAAAAAATGGGTTGGCTGAAGTATTGAACTGCCAAACTGCAGGTGTATTTGATCCATTGAGGTAGAAATACATACTTAAAAAGTCTATAAATTATGTAAATTTGCACTCTCGTGCATTAAAAAAAATATTAAAGATTGTATGCTAGGAGACTATTTATCTTTGTTACAAAGATGTTACAATTGTTTTTAGCCTCTAGATGTCAAATTGGATGGCTTAAAGTATGTTGAGAAGTAGGAATTTTTTTTTTTTAAACTTTGAGTTAAATCAGTAACACCTTCATAATCACTCAATTTTAAATCTGGCAAACATCAATGATTATTACTTCCTTCTATTCAAAATAGATGGTCTTTTTGTATACTTTATCAAAACATAAATGAAAAGCTCCGACTCCCCATTAAAAAAAATGAAAAAAAAAAAAAAACTAAGCATAGTTTATAACCTCTTCTAGATTTCAGATATTCAAAGCTCTCATTTCCTGAAAATAAAAAAAAATAAAAAAATGAAAAAAAAAAAAAAAGTACCACGTATCACCCTATTAATTAAGGGACTAAACCGTCATTTACGTCTTAATCCTGGTTAGTACAATATGATTAGAGCGAGTGGCATTCAGAAATTCATGAGAAACACAAAGGTTATTTTCATCGTCTCTCTCCCTATAAAAGGTTAGAAAAACCCCGCAACAGGGCTCGAACTCTTGCTTGTTCCCCCCATGGACATAGACGCCGAGTCTCTCTCTCTTATCCAAAGGAAACAGTCTCTCTATGTCTCTCAGGTAATATTATTCATATTATATTAGTAATATTATCCATTTCCATTTTCTCCCAATTTTTTTTGACATTATTCTTGGCCCAATAGATTATATTGGTTCATTTTCTCATTTTCCCTTTCAAAATTTGTAAATATTATTCTCTCCAATTTATAAAAATAATTCCATCTTTTTCTGTAATATTGGTGTTCACGTTATCTTCCATTCATTTCTCACGATTTACTCTCTCCATTCATTTCTCACGATTTACTCTCTCTAAAAGTTTTTATTTACCCCCTTCTCTCTCTAGGGAAACTGTTAGGTTTAAATTCTGTATACTTTTTGAATCAGTATCTCTAATTTTTACTCTTATTATTCTCTCACTAAGAATCTATAACTTCAGTTCGCTACTTCTAATGATGAAAAAAATGGCATTCTCCATTATACACAGGATGAGAGGTTTCTGCTTGGATTGCAAAAGTACAAGGGACAACAGTACAGTCACATATATTTTTTCCGCCTTTACAAAATGAGAGAGCAATTTCGATCGCTTATAAATCATCAGCACCCGAATTTGCCCGGTATCCTTTCGGAATTTCATTTCCTTTCAATAATTGATCATCAATAAGTGTTTCTTATTGAATTTGTATTTCTCATTGATGATAAACATTTGGAAAGGGGGGATTTTTGTGCTTTTTCTGAATTTGGATGACAAGATTTTGCATTCTTGTCAGTGTAGAGCATTAGCATTAAAAACACTCGTTTTAGCTCAATATTAAGCATCATGAAGTGATATACTTCATCAATGGGCATCTTATTCCCACTACAGGTTAAAAATGGTGTAGCTATAACTTGGTTGTTCTTGACTTGACAACCTATGAGATCTTATTCTGTTATACTGTTCAGAAGTAACAACCTAGGTAGAAGAAGAGATTCAACCAATCTTTTCTCGAGTTTTGTGCATGATAGATATGGTATGGCTATATCCTTTCAAAATTTTCTTACGTTTTGCACATGATAAAAATGGTGCAGCTATTTTCTAGCTTCATCCTTCCTCATGCAGTAGATCTTGGAGTATAAAGTTTGTTACGGCTTGTTTGTATTTATTTCTGTATTTTGATCACAAATTAGTTGCTGTTTAAAGTTTGTTTCCACCTTTTCAAAAAAGTTTGGTTCCTTTTTTTTTTTCCTGATGATCATGTAATATGGCAACCTAGTATTATCTACTGATACAACCTCTGTAATTTGTTTTCTGGTAGTGTAAGAAGTAAAAAGAACATGCTTCATTGATGAAATGTGTAAAGTTCGTTTTGCTTTGGTTTGGTTAGTCTAAGGTGCTGTTTTAGGCCAGAATTAATGGAAGAGAGTTATATTGTCAGCCCAATTGATTCATTCTCTCTTTGACGCATGCCATTTTTATGCAGTTCACACGGTTTTAGGTCTTGAAGTAGGTAAACAGTGCATCATCGTGGGAACTTTATACAAACAAATGAAGTTAAAACCTTCTGTTCTTGATGAGTACTCTAAGGAGGTATGCTTATGGTGTTCTCTATTCTGCTGTACATGGGCCCATCCGTATATTCAAGATATCCAGTTGTGCATACATTCATTCATGCATATGCATCCCATTCTAAATTGTATAATCATGTAATCTGCATCAGTTTGTGTTGTCTTTTTATTTGCAGAGGTCTGCTGTTCCCCTTGTGAAACCTCATAATTTTCTTCACCCAGATGACCATCTCATTTTGGAAGATGAGAGTGGAAGAGTTAAACTTATAGGGGATGTGGTGAAACCATCTGACTATGTGACAGGTGTGTATATGAAGATATCAGACGAAGAAGAAGGGGAAACTATACTGAATGCTGATGAACTTATATGAAAACCATAGTCTGTTTTGTTCAGCAATGATTGATGTTGATGGAGAGAGTTAGTCTCATCATTGGGGTCATCTCCTGTTCTTGATAGCACTCTTCCCATCACCCTCCATCATTTCATTGGACAATGATGACCCATTGGACTGTGGCTTTCTATGGTGTCCTATAGTATATTATAGTTTTGAATCCACAGTATCTCTTACATATGCACACAATTCTCGACAAGCTAATGGAAAGTGCTGCCATGGTATATTGCTGCATTAATCTGGCACATATGATTGGAGCTTTTATGTTTTGGGTTCATTCTTGATTAGCAGGTGTTGTACTGGCAGTTCATGGGGAAGAAACCAGTGATGGTGATTTTCTGGTTCACAAGATTGTAGAAGCTGGATTACCACCACAGATAAAAATTCCACAAGAAGCAAGTATTATATCTAACTAATTTTACATCAGTTGCATGCTGTTATGACTTTCAATAACATGCCTATCATTCACCAGCTGGGTTTATGTCCCTCATTTGTCAGTATGTCTTTGTGAATGTCGAGTGCATTAATTTATCCAATGGAGGGGAATATGGAAATTAGCATAATATTATTCATTGGGGTCATCACCTTCCAATCAAAGGATGGATTGTGATGGATAGACTGTTGGGGTAATTTCCTATTCTGTGGTCTCTCTCCCCTCCCCCCAAAAAAAAAAGAGAAAAAACAAAAAACCATTTACGATTGTTATTTCCCATCGCAAGTGTGCTTCACACATCTCTGATGATTCCAAATTAGTACTAGGATCACAAACATTTCTGTAATGAATGGGTATATTCATGGGTGAGGGCTTATAATAAACTCTAGTTCTTGAATTTGCAGTTGTTGCTGCTTCCTATATTGAATTTTTTTTGTCTTTAGTCATAGTTGTCCTCGTGTGCTTGACAACAATTAAATTTTATCTTTTGATTAGCCAAAACATGGCATTCCTTGCACCAAAATATGGTTAACAAGTTCATTCTATGGCTGGAACTTACAGTACTTACCATACTGCATTTGAAATCGTAGGAAAAAAGAACATTGTGTCTGTGCATAATTTTCAAGAGTCTGAATCTTTTTTTTGGCTAGTTCAGAGAGGATGGGGTCCTCTACCATGGTAGGAATGGAAGTCAAGACATCATGTTATGATGCCCCACCACCTTGATCACCTAGCCTCAAGCCCATTCCTACAGGAGGCTGAATCTGTATTCTGTAATTGTGATTTGGCTGAACTGGATGAAGTCTTGGCAAAACTTATAAGTTTCTCTCTTTTTTTTTTAAACTAAATTCTATTTTTGTATGCCAAGTATCAGTTGCATTAAAGTCTGAAATCCAAACTATTGGTTTCAGCGCTCACCAAAATTATTACTACAAGGTTGAATATTGTCTAGAATTTAACTTAATCTTGAGGCCATGGAATTTTAATATCATAAATCATATTGAGTTGGCCTTTACTTATGTTTAGGTGGACACTCAACTTTTAGTCTTGGTAAAGCCTGTTTTCCATGTCTTTGGACATTACTATGTGGCTCTATAATCTTCTGTTTGTTGAAAGACAATTTTTGTTATTTCTCATGACGTTTGAAATTTGTGTAATTAACTTACAGAAGAAGATAAGTATGTGGCTTTTGTGTCTGGATTGAGTGTTGGGAGCATTAAGTCTAATCCTCTTCAGATTCAATTGCTGGTGGACCTTTTGACAGGACATCTAGGTGATGACAAGGTATGTTAGTTTCCTCATGGATTTATCTTTTAAGTAGCATTTTAAACTATATCTGCATCTTGTTATCTCATTGCACTGTCAACGATTGAAATTACTAAAGTTTCCATTAAAACAGGAGCAAAATGTTGCATCTCAAATTACCCGTATTGTAATAGCTGGGAATTCTGTTGAACTTCAACAAGGACTCCTTGCAGGTCAGGTAATCTTATCTGCTTGGCTCGACATTTGTTGTACTCTTGTGCTCTTATGCAGTTTCTGTACTATTTTACATGCACAACAAATATATGTATACTATTCTTTCCAGTCATGGTTGTGGGGTTCTACTAGTGTTACTTCTTTCCAGATTGCTTATTTTTTCGTTGTTGCAGTCCTTGGCTTCAAAGGATCAATCCAAGCTCTCTGAACCGATTAAAGAGTTTGATCTTCTGTTAACTCAGGTTCTCAGTTGCAACTTTCGAGCTGTACAATGCATTTTAATATTCAATGAGTGCCCCCTCGCCCCTTTTTTCCCCCCCTCTTTTGATAGATAATTATGGGGTATTATTGGTTGGATTTTTTACTTGATTTCAATCATATTGTTGCATGTAGTATTCAAATATCATCACGAATGTCTTTGCAGCTTGCAGCAGCCATGCCTGTGGATATAATGCCAGGGCCTCATGACCCCGCAAACTACTCCTTGCCTCAGCAGGTTAGTGTTGCATAAATTTGAACATCCATCACTTATGAATATGCATTGCTGACATGTGTGGCACAAAAATAAAATAAAAGGATAGTGAGGATATTAAATTTTTTTGGAAAAAGACTCTGGCCTAACGGATTAAATGTATAAGAGAATCAAAGAGAGCATAATATATAAAAAAGGGTTATTTAGGCTACACCATTTGGTGGTGCAGACCCTTAAAGTGCTCAACATTTTTGGACACTAAAATACCCTTGAATTGTAATACAATTTTTTTCAAGTACGGGCATTTTTGGTCATTTAGAAGGGTAAAATGGATATTTTTATAAGAAAATAGTGGCATTTTATTAGTAGTTAAAAACAATTAATGCATCTTGTGGGTGATGTCACACACCATATCGGTGATGTCATTGTCCACTATTGTTAATAAATGTTTTTGTTTCTATTAAGAATTTCTTGTTTACCCTTGACTAATTACTTAAAATACCCCTAAACAAAAAGTTACTATACTATAGGATAAGGGTATCTAAATATCTAAAGATGTTGAGCACTTTAAGGGTCTACACCACAAGTGGTGTAGCCTAACAAAACCCTATAAAAAAAAAAGAAAAAACAAGCGAAAAAATTAGGAAGAATATTTCCATGACAAAATGCCTAAAAATAAAGTAGAAAGGAAAATAATGAAATAATGTGCAGAAAATAGAGTAAAAGAACTTAACAGAGGAAAGAAAAATATAAATTGGAAAGAGAAAAAGAAAGGTAGAATCTGAAGACTTAGAAGGAAAGAAAAAGAAAATAAAGAAAAATCTAGGACCAGAAAATAGAAAAAGGGAGTCGCCTAATCAACAAACATATCATTTTCCTAAGTGATTATTTTATTTCCACACTAACAGGGAAATGTAATGTAAAGTTATGCAAAAATTGGTTTCATAGTTATGGACTGGAAATTGCCAACACTTCCACATTTCTCGTCTGTCATGCCACAACTGACATGTATGTAAATGTGTATGTATGTTTGTGTGTGGCTCTATGCATGCATATGATGACCTCTCAACTGTAATCTTCTTATGTTTTGGTTCTATTTTCAGCCTTTGCATAAATGCCTCTTCCCTGGAGCTTCTGCATATAATACCTTCGTGTCCAGTCCTAATCCTCATTCATTCTACCTTGATGATGTCGGGTAAGTTCCATTATGACTTGAAGTGAACCCCCAATAGCCTAGTGGTTATTTTTTTTTAACGTTAACTGTTAGTATGAGTTAGTAATTTTTGGAATCTATAGTAGTTTTCGAAAGGGATTAGCATTGGTAGGAATGGGAACCATGACCGGTAAGCTGAGTCACAGGTTGTGCTACCCCCTTGACCTCAACTCCATTCCTAATAGCCTAGTGGTTTGGAGATCTTGTTCTCATTCCTAAATTTGAGGGGTGAGACTCCATTTTACCAAAGAAGAGAAAGTATATTATTGTGGCTATGATTAAAATGAAGAAAAAGACACCTTTTCAAGATTTAAATGATAATGGACACAAGCATTATCAATGCTTTCAGGTTTCTAGGAACATCGGGTCAAAACATAGATGATCTTGCGAAGTATTCTGAAGCGAAAGAGAAACTTGATTTCATGGAGAGAACATTGAGATGGAGGCACTTGGCACCAACTGCCCCTGACACTCTCGGTATGTCATCACATTATGTCATTTCCCTAGCTTCTCCTTTTATATATGTTTTAGTGATCTCCTTTCCTGGCCCTTTTCTTAATTGGACTTTGCTTATATTCATATTGTACCGAACTTGATGTCTTTCTAGGGTGTTATCCCTTCACCGATCGAGACCCTTTTGTCGTTGAAAGCTGCCCTCATGTGTACTTTGTTGGGAACCAGAACAAATATGGTACTCAATTGTTGAAAGGTATTTTTTGCATGGAAAAAGTAAAGAGGCGAATGACATGGTCTCTCTGATGTGCCCAATCTGAGGAATTGATAGAAGCTCTTAATTTCATTGTCTTTAATGCTTCTTATGCAGGATCTGAGGGACAATTGGCTAGACTGATCAGTATACCTAGATTTTGTGAGACCGGTGTTGCTGTCATGGTATGTATCTTGTTTTCAACTTGAACCTATATTTGGAAAAGTTTGGAAAATTGTTCCTTGGTGTCTTGTCAAAATGAAATGGAAACTATATATGAACATACACACATGCACAAATACATCACTTCTTTCGCGATTGGAATGTATCCTAGTGACTGATGGAACAGCCAGTCAGTTTTATTCTGCATGAGTTATGCACTGCACATGCAGATGATATTTTTTTCTTGAATGAAAATCCTTTATTACAGCCACCTATTTGCTGCATTTAGCACACAATCATGGATATATCTAGAGATGTAGAGAAAAAAAAAAAAGAAAGGTGTTTCTTTACTTTCTCTTACATAATTTGATGTTGTTTGTTGAGTATGTTTGTGCACATCTGCATGTGAGCTTTTGTTTTTTAATTCCTTTTTGTATGTTACTCTCCTTTTTATGTTTATTGGCAGTATTGTGTAATGTGCCTTTGGTATGCTTATGTTTTCTGTTTTGTCCTTCTTGTTTTACTTTGCATTTTCTTTCATAGCTTGATTCAGTTTTCTATAGTTTCCTTCCTTTTCTCTTCCATGGGTGCAGCTAAATTTTAGACATTTCATTCCTGATTGAAATGCATCTATTGACTGGTGGAACAGCCAGTCAGCTACATGCTGCATGAGTTGTGCACTGCATATGCAGAAGGCACTCTTTCTTGAATGGGAATTCTTTGTGACAACTACCTGTCTGCTGCATTTAGCAAACAATCAGGGATATTTCTAGAGACTCCAAAAAAAAAAAGAAAAAGAAAAGAAAAATTGGAGGGGTGTCTCTTTATTTTCTCTTGCATGACTTGATGTAGTTTGTGCTTATATTTGTGCACATCTGCAATTGAGTGTTATTTTATTGTCTTTTAATGCGATGCTCTCCATTGTTTGTGTATTAATGGCATGCACATTTGGTGTGCGTGCGTTTTCTATCTTTTTCTTTCTAGCTTTGTTTTGCGTTTTATTTTATGGCTTCATTGTGTTTTCTTATAGTGCCCTTTATTTTCTCTTCCACGAGTGCAGCTAAATTTGAGAAATCTTGAATGTCACCCCTTAAGTTTTTCGTGTGAAACATGAAGCACGATGCTGACTCCAGCCAGGTAACTACTGCATTTTTAACGTCCTAAATGCTTGGCCATGTCAATTGTGTTTGTTATTATTTTACATATTAAGCCTCATATAGTAACGTGGTCTGGGAATTGGTGGTTAGGGGTGCAGATGCTTCACCATGACATCCTAGGCTCTGTTCCGGCACTTCCCCAAAAAAAAAAAACAAAAACCATGGATAAGATTTTTACCTTAGAGAGAGAGTTTAGGGTACAATACCTATTAAGAGGACACTTAAAGGTAAGTTACCTCATTGGAAATGTAATCGGAAAACTATGATAGGAAATCTAAATTCGAATCCTAATCCAATTCAAATAAGTACCTCATTGGAAATTTAATCGGAAATCTACGATAGGAAATCTAATTCGAAAAGGAAATTGTTATAATATATTTTTGGGAACTGTTATCCTCATGGGAAACCTAATCCTTAGGAAAATAACTTTCTTATACATTTTAAATGTCTATGCACGGCTATGGTTGATTTTACATTTGCTAGGGGGAATCTTGAGTCAAAAAGATATTCCAAATCATCTTCGCACAGGGGCAACTAGCATTAACACCCATCTTTTGGGTGGCACAAATAAGAAATTCTGGGTGGATACATAAAACGTTGGTGACCTCCCTTCTTTCATATTGAAAGTCAGGTAGGGATGCCGTGACAATCTTGCATTTATTTAAGGGCATTTTGGTCCACTTTTGGGCTTTTATATTGAAAGGAGGGGGGGTGTGAAAAACTGTGGAGCACAATGGGATTCTTGTCATCCGTTATTTGTACCATTCCAAAATTAGGGTTTCGACGCTCGATTTCAAGACCAGCAGTCCAAAATCTAGGGTTTCAATGCTCTAATCCCCGGCTACATTTTGCTTCCATTCCTCCTTTTGAAGCTCATCTTAGGGTTTCGGCCTTCGGCTTTGGCTTGAGGTACTTGTATTATCTCTCTTATAAGTAAAAGAGTTTAATGTTGACTTTCCTTCATTGATACCATAGAGAGAGAGAGAGAGAGAGAGAGAGAGGAGGTGTCGTTTGTTTGTCGTAGTCGTAGTACGTACTACTAGTTAGGGTAGGGTGTTCGTTTGTTTCGTACGTACGTACGGTACGGGTT